CACAGCTAATGGTGCAGGAGGTGATAAGTGAGCGAGAAAATTAATGCATCCAGCGAACAAAATTACATTTGCCTGGTAATAAGAAGCAAGCAGCGCATCCTGTCATTGTTGTGGCAGGAAACGCCAGCCTACTTTTGCCTCAAGTTGCCGTGTATTGGCGAGAAGGACGTGTTTGATGTTTCGATGATGTTGGTGGTGATTTTTAGACGCACAAGGAAAGTTATCCAGGACACATTTCGGGTCATTCAAGGCATCCGATGCAATTTCAGGGCAGCAAAACTGTGGGTTCTCAAAGTCAACTTTCTGGCCATTCTTTTAATGTAATAATTTGAATCGATCCTATCTTATACTATACTGTGAGACAAGCATGTGATGCCTGGTGGTAGACAGTTCCAGACATTGGTCCAAGCTAGCCCATGGGTCTTCTGAAGTTTTCTCGCTGAGGTTTTGGGACATTCGGTTGATTGCTTGTACTTTGTCTGGTTGCCCTTTATTGTCTGTACTTTAGTCTCTTCGGTAGACAGACAACATGCGCATGTATGTGATTTCTGTTTCTTTACAATTCTTTGAGAGGAATCCAGAGTTAGGGCCATGCGTGTGTCTGGTGGTAGACTGTTCCAGACAATGGTCCACGGTAGCCTGTGGATCTTCTGAAGCTCTCTCCAGAGGTTTTGGACATCCAGTTGATTGCTTGTCCTCTGTTGTCTGGTTGCCCTTGTCTGGTTGCCCTTTATTGCTTGTACTTTAATCTCTTCAGTAGACAGACAACCTATGGATCTTCCGAATTCGAAGCTCTCTCGCCGAGGTTTTGGGACATCCAGTTGATTGCTTCTGCTTCCTCTGGTTGTCCTTATACTTTGGTCTTTGCAGTAGACGAATATCTTCTGCATGTAGGGAGGAAGTTTTTGACGCAGACTCAGCTAGAATCCCCTGCTGTCTCTCCCCTGCAGCAGTAACATTGATCTGACATGGCCGCACGGGGAAATAACGACATTCGTGCGCTAAATCAAGACGATAAAACGGTTAGTATTACATCGTTAAGTAGATACGCCATAACTCTGCAGAAACCACCCTTGTCAAACCCTGCAGCAAAACACAGCCCGATAAAAGTGCAACTTACTCTAATTTCCCCCAAGAAGGTTAACAGGACAGTTAAGTTTAGTGAACCGCGTTTTTCTCATCTGTTCACAATATATCTTCACATCCAATAAACTTCCCTGGTCATCGTATAGTACTGGACATAAAATCGGACCATATATATTAAGCATCTGTTATCAAACCAGACATTTTGGGAAAATTAAACCTTCATAGGAAAATATTAATGGCAACTTTTAGTTGGTAGTATTAGATGATGTATGTATGTGACATGTTGTCACAATATGTAGTCGAGCGCCGACTGTTAAAGTCGTCCGATGCAATTTCGTGGGGGGGGGGGGGGCTCGGTATTTTCCAAGTCAATATTTTGCAATTGGTTTTTTTAAATAGTAGTTGAATCCTTATCTTATATAGTATACTGATATCTGGTAGACTACATGTAGCTATTTATGGGTGGTTCCTCAAAAATAAAGGGGCTTCTCACGTGGCTTGTTTTGGGGCTATTTTAAACGCCACAAGTATAAAATGATGAGAAAAATGTTCTAATAAATGGCAGTAAATGTCAATATCAGACAGCTTTCCTCATCCAGAATATTTTTTGTTTGCTGCCCTGAAATTCCACTGGATAACCAATTACACAACTTCCGATTTGTATTTCCCAAATATGTCGATTTCTCATACCATACAAGTAATAAACTGAATACACTCCAACGGTACTTAGGAGCAAAAATAATGATATCTAAATAAAAAAAGAACATTATCATATAACGTATTCAAGGAATGATATGGATATATTATTCTACCATAGATTGCAATTAGGATACAAATTATAATTGTAAATACAATTAGTTCATAACGGAAATTATGACTTAACGTTTGCCTACATAACGATGAAATGTCCCCTTTATTATTGGTATATATAATATCCCCTTTATTATTGGTAATTACGTTTCTCAAGCATATTTATGGATGAAATGGAAGATTGCTTCGAAATTGGCAATAACATATTAAATGTTGACCTAAGAGGTCATTTCATATCACAGGCAATTTCGACTTCCTGTTATTTCATGTCGCTAGCGTAGTTCCAATTACACGTAAAACCATATACGTTATCACTAAGCAGTTAACAAAAGTTGCTAGCTGACGTGTACTATACGCAGTTGTATGTCTTCTTGGTCATAGAAGACGATGATTCAAGTGAAACTGATGCATTAAGCAACAATGCTCTCACGGTGAATCATTAGTTAGTCATCGACAAAATCACAAAAAGGTTGAGATGTTATGAAGATCTATAATGAATATTTATCTGTGTTGGTAGTAATCATTGTTAAACTTTATTACAACACAGAGAGTACAAAGGATCAAGTCCACTTGTCTGCAATCGTAACTCACGTGAGTTTACGTTCTGAAGTGATTGGTTATCAATTATCGTGATGAAGGCGACAGTGGTCGTTGAAAATTTGATTCTTGTGTACTCTTTGTGTTGGAATAAAGTGTAACATTGTAGAATGATATGAAAATCTACTTGTGTTATAAAATTCTAAGCAGGGATGCATGCGAATGCCACGTGTTTACCTAACAAAAGTGCTCTCATTATCAGTAAGGGCACTTTTGTGGGAATAATAAATTGTTGTGTGAGAATGATAAGTTGTTGTTCCTACACGGACCCATGTGAGAATGATAAGTAGCTTTCCTACAGCGGGGGTTTAAAATGTCGTGTTTCTATTGCCCGGTCGTGACACGTGGCCGTTTGCCCCCGAGCTGTGCTCTCACCGTGGAAAATTCGTGACATGAGTGTTATGCTGTTCTTATCAATATCTTATAGCGTCGTGCATCGTGCAAAGGTGCAATAGCTCAATTCGTACTCGCTTTGTAACCGGGAGGTCGTGAGTTCAAACCCCGGCTGGGTCATGATACCAAAGACTTTAAAAATGGTACACACTTCTTTCTCTTCTTAGCACTCAGCACATATGAGAAAGAGTGTAGGAAGGTCAAACACACAGCACTACCACCGGACTAGCCCCCTGCTGTAGTGCCCTAGCCTGCACAACTGTGTGTCGCCCAAGGGCTACGGAAATGGACATGGGCACCAAACCCTATGCTCTGCACATAGCACGGGAGACCTTTTCGTGCATAACGTCAAAATAGAGAAGCCAACAAGTGCTAACTCTTTGATATTCATGAAATAAGCCCAAATCAATGATTACCAATTGTATCCAGTATTATACAATGATTGAAATGCATCCAGTTTATTGTGACTTTACACAAACATGTAACAGAAAGGCATACCGTCAATGAAATGCTCACAGACACCTTCTTCATTCAATGAAGACTAACAGCGTCTGGTGATTCATAACTACGTACGCATCACTGCGTATTCGCATATACAAAGCCCATTTGTCGTAGCACACTACACTTTTTCCTCATCAATCTAGTATGTTATATCAGATTGATAGTGCTACTGATATCCGTGGTCTGAGCACGTATAGTCTGGGATGTAATATTCTCGATGTATTTAAATCTATCATTTGTTGATACCAAAAAGAATATACTCGACAGTCATAAATACACGTCTGACAGCATTTAGTTTTGTATGTATCGTCAGTGAACTTGTGGCTAATTTTACTCCAGTAACTGTCGGAGTATCCCAGCTACAGTTAATTGTGCTCTTCGTCTCTGTCCTGTGTCTTTCATCATGTTGCATTTCGGTTATTCAGTCCCATCCTCACGCGTGCCTCCTTGACTTATGAAATTCTTCCGCTGCCAGTCAAGGCCGACTGGCAACTGTTAAACGCCTGTGCCGGTGAATGAGGTTCAGGGCCGGTGAACTCTGACAGAAGAACATTATTAACCTTTGCCGGCATCCTGTAGAATAGGCTGCGAACCAGGGTTCGAAATACCCACTCTCACACTCTCGCAAGTCATGCTTTCTGTGCGAGACTTTTGGGAGACGCCAAGTTGCTCGGCGCGCTGGTTATCTTTTGTTTTTTGCTTACAAAGCGATCTTGTATGTTTCAGTGTTTTGGCATAGTTTTTTTTTTTATCTTAATGTACTCATGTGTACTTGAGTACTTACTAAACATCTTTTAGATAAATAAATCGTGGGTGATTTTATTTTAGACAGGTTTGTTCATTAGCTTTCATTAGTTTTGAATTATTTTGAATTCGAATTTAAACTTGTGCTTTCATTAGTTTTCGAATTCTTTTTGAATTCTTTTAAATTCTCTGTTGACAGGATACTATAGCTAATGATTTCTTTTACGTTAAAGCGTTGTAAATTGTGGCAACCCCAAAGATTGATGAGCAACCTCGCTGTTGGCTGAGGCTGACTAGGCAACATGAGAAAATAAGTATTTCGAACCCTGTGAACTCATAAATCTTCCTTTCACGGCACGTCATTTATCATCTTCAGAACATATTTGTAATTTCCCGTCTTCCACGCAATACCGCCGTCTGGACATGCGGCTCTTCCGCTGGATCTGAGCAGCTTTCTCCCGCCTTCTGGTAAAATAGATCAGCACCAGGGGATTCACCACGCAGTTTGAAAATGCCAGCCAGTGAGAGATGGGATAGACGTAGTCGTGCAATCTCTTCGCGTACTTCGTTGGCAAGTCAAAATATATATCCAACATCCAGCAGATATACAGCGGTAACCATGTCAGTAGAAATGCCATCCTTACGACACTGAGAATGGAAGACGTTGTGAGGCGTTTGGGATGTGTTTGGGGAGGAGAAGCGTCTTTCCTTCTGCTCAGTGTTGTAGGAAAATCCTCTTTAAGCTCTTCGATAGGGCTGTGCCTTGTGACTTGTGAGACGTTGTAGCTTTCTAGAGGCTCGCGACACCTGGGGTATTTCTCCACTAAGAAGAGTAGAACGTTGATTAAAACAGGTCCGAGTAAGCACACTGCCATGAGGAACCCCTTGTACATGAAGCTGTAGTGTGATGAGGTCCACTCCTCGTCGCAGAACCGCCGGATTCGTGATGATTTTTTGTTGTCTGAGGAGGTCACAAATATGAAATGAGGCAGGCTGATGGCCACGGATGTAGTCCAGATCAGGGCGAGAAACGGCAAGGCCTTCCTGGCGTCTTCTTGTCGCTTCTTGTTCGCCGTGATCAGGCGATACCTGTGGAAGCACAAACATGGTCAACAGTTTGTCAAATGCTTGGGCAACACATTAGTCTTCAGTTGACGTTATTCACAGCCATATATAGTTTGAAGGGGCATTATGTAACATTTTTACACGAATAATTAAAGTATTTTAAGAGAACAAAATCATCATGTAATTGTAATTTACTTCCAATGTTCATCATATTTGCACAACTATTTCACATTTATGGTTGGCGCCAAAGCAATTCAAAGACAGACCTATTGTACCGTTTAGATCGGTACCTTGTGGTCACCCAGCCAATATGGTCGCTTACACTGCAGATCACAGCTATGTTATGAGGTATACAGTTCGATATTCAGACGTCAGTGAAAAAAATTCGTAAAGACGCTGACGTCTTTATACTCTATACAGAACATCGAGTTTTAAGGTCCGGGTTCATACTAACGTCCCAGTTACGAGATATAGATTGGAAATATAAAAAAAATTGGACCAATTTGTTGATTGTAGTAATAGATGATCCAGGGGCCACAGTTTGGAAGTCCTTAAAACTGACACCGATAAACTTTGTACCACGGTTTGTATAACCCCACCCTCATCTACAAGTTGTAATCCTGCTTTGTGAGCGACGATAAATCCCAAAAGGCCGGGATTTACTGCGAAAAGTTCTCTTAAACTATCATTTATTAGAAAGTCGATTCAACATTTACAGAAAAATCGATCTGTACTGAAATGAATATCATAGGCTTCGTGCAGGGTGGTGGTTTATAGCTTCGCGTCCGCCAGTTGGGCCAACACAACAAGACAGTCGGAATCGATGATGCCAAAGGGCATTTTGGAAATTGCATTTTAAAGCCACAAAAGATCCGAGGAGAATTCAGTGTAAAATCAATTGTTCCTCACAGTCACGTATTACGACTGCCCTGGTGGCTACATATCTATCAGGGATCTGGGTAAAAAGGACCGGGACATTTGTTAGAGGCGTGGCAAGGGTAGTGCGTAATACAAACATCTCCCCAAGGCAATAACATGTACGTACGTGTTGCTCGTGACACAAAACTGCCAACAACGAAACATAGAACACAAAACATGGGGCGATTATATCGATCATGAATTTATCACTAAGTAGATAATCATCATTGATGTGATACATGATAACAAATATGTTTGATATGAGAAAACATTTGTATAGAGAAATTTAGATTCCTTACAGCCTTTGATAAACCAACTCTAACTAATCATACAGCCACCTAAATTTATAGAATGACCAAGAAGCGAGAGGAACGTCTGTATAATAGAGCGTGTATATGTACATCTATAATATAGTGTTACGTTGTATATGATTGTTAACATGTGACCTGTGCTTAGCCCAGTGGGGCAAAAATGTACAATAGAGGTCTTCATTCATTCTGGGTGACCGGATGTCGACGATACTATCCTGACTTCCATTTTTTTCTTCCAATACTCACAAGACAGATCCACAATTCAAATTAATCGGGATGTAATTTGAAGCAAGTCGCCTGAGGTAAAAGAGAAAACCTTGTAAGACTATACTTTGCTCGAGGCAATGGCGTTTTTTTTCAATGCCAGATCCTGAATAATGCAGGCATTCCGTGGTTATGCCATAGTGGCCAGTACGTTTACCTATCTGCATTTGGTCACAATGTCATGATTATGTGCACACTAGGCAGATCAAGTGTGAATGCGGTCAGTTGTGGGTAAACCTACTTCTCTACAGTTCGGTACCATCTGTTAAGCCTTGTTGATATACCTTGATGACATCCTCTGGGAACAATGACACTGATGCCAGCGTGCAAATAAAAACGTTTGGCAAAGAACGTTATGAAATCTACGTGGTTGAACAAATAACTGAACACACAGAGTAAGGAATGGTGAATAGTAAAAAAAAAATGTCCAGAAAATTTGAACATTCAGTTTTGCTGCTCTAAAATTGCATTGGACAAGTCTGTGTTGTCTTGATTGCGTTTGCAATTGAAGTTAAAAATCGCAGTGGTATTCACGAAAGACATATGGGGGTGGTCAAACATACTAACTTATATTTCAAATCTCAAATTGCATTTGTCCTTGTATGGATATAAAAGCCCCTGAGGCTGAGTGTATGATGATTTTACACAAGAGAGTGTCCCGACGGTTTTGACATGTGTACCTGGGGGTACAAGGAGGTAGACATATGTGTCTGACTGAAGCATTCCCTAGTAAAAACCACGGGAACATTTCTAACTTCTATAATAATCGCCATCAAGAGTCTACTCTGCCATTCTTTTTAATCACATATCGATTCAATCCTTTCCCACATGAGCACTAGAGTACAAGAGTTTCACATATCGCAATTAATAAGTCGGCGTTATTGTGCTTTGTATTGAATATACAGCGGGGTGCTTTACAAAGGCATTTATTTATGAAATATTGATTAGAACTATACCAGGAGGCCATGTTTTATTAACGCTTGGTTTCCCTTAAATGCAGTAGGAGGCTATAAGTACGGCTTTGTTTAATGGGTACCACCCCGTACATTAGGGGCTGCAAATATTGCACCAAGCCAAGGGTAATTAGTTTTCATTCAAACCCTAATGAAGAAAAAAATACAAATGATATAATCAATAGAAATCCTGATATATATATTTCCCAATGTCACTTCATGTGCAAAATCATGGAACAAGACCGAGAATTATTGGCATCAAGTTTATAACATTTGCACTTGGCAGACGAGGAAAACAGCTGATCATGAAATTTACTTTTTTTATTAACTAACATACAGAATATAAAACTCCAGCACGTTGCTACTTTTAGCCTCACCACTGACAAAGAAGAATACAATCAATAAAAATATAAATGGGTGTTCCATAAGTAAAACGATAACATGTAAAAATGGATCATTCTATGAAACTGAATGTTTTGTGGGTAGTTTTAAAACAGTTATTCAATTTCGTCAAACTATTTTGTGTTGACAATAAAGGTTTGAGTCAAGGTCAAACTATGTCTATTGGTTTCTATTAACCAGGCTTCTTCAGGCAAATTGTGCAAATTGTGCAAATAAAAAATGGAGCCTGAAATTCAATTCATCGCTCTACATGTAGCTACATGTAGTTACATTGATGTTGTAAACAGATACTAGCCAACCTACGACTAGTGGATCGATTGCGTGATTTTTGTTTCAGAGAGGGTATTTCATTTACACTCATAAACCGCTCACATAACAAACTATAAGCTAATCTGACAGCGTCGACTTCGGTTATGAGGTGACTTCTGCAATGAAACTGATATCAGGGCGATAACAATTTGTAACATAGACCATAGCATTGAAACTTTTATGTCCGCTGACTTAAAGATGCATTATGTAACATTTGTTGAAATATTTTCTATTAAAGAAATATTCATGTGATCGTGATTTTCTTCCACTTGTCAATATACATTTATTTGTGAAATTATCTCACATTTCTGCATTTATGGCTGGCACTAGAACAGCCCACACGAGGCGCACTCAGTTTGTGGTGCCACCACAAACCACCAGTGTAAACAAACATGGCTGGCAACTTTCCAGCTTTTAATCGTGATGTGTCGTATTTTGGCACTTTTTGAATGATAATTTGCAATGGAATAAGGTAGATTTAACTTATTCTGTTACGAAATGACAAGAAACTTTCCTTTTTGTATCGTCCTAATGTAACATAATGCAGCTTTTAGCATACTAACACATTGTTCGGGGTTTACTTAAAAGCCAAGCCATGATCTCCTTATAACAAGCAAGATATTACCCAAGTCCACTTACTAGACAAGTACATCAGTTACACTAGTGTTTCTGTTGCTAAAAATCCACGCCTTTGAAACTATATAGCTATCTCGGCCTCAGCCGCGGTGCGAAGACATACATAGATCACTCTGGAAACGGCAAAGATGACCTCCATTCTGTGATGAAATCTTCCAAGGTTATTGAAGTGACCTTCATAACATGTGGATCCCTTCTTGGGAAGTTTTGAGATGTGTGCGGAGGTTATTACACAGCAGGCGTCTGTAGAGGCAATGTCAGGGTAGGGCAGAGAGGTAATTTGGGAGTAAAATGCAGACATGCCGGTGCAATAGCTCAATCCGGAAGAGTGCTCGCTTTGCAACTGGGAGGTCGCGAGTTCAACCCCCGGCCGGGTCATATCAAAGACTTGAAAGTAAAAATGGTACATACTGCTGTCAGCACTCAGCATGGCAAAGACTTTGGGAAGGTCAAACACACAACTCTACCAGCGGGCTAGCCACGTGCTTGCATAAATGTGTGGCCCAGGGGCTACAGAAATGGAGATGGGAACCACCCCCATGCTCCACAGCTTATTCTTCTTTTTCTCCACGCCTGCTGCTTTGTAACCGAAAAGAGGATGTCTTTGAGGAAAGTACGCAGCTTTTCCAACCGCCACTAAGAAGTGGATCTTTGAAGAAAGAGTACACAGCCTCTCAACTGCAGTGTTATTACTCTTTTGACTTTCTGAAAGAACCTGTTTAGCACATTGAATACCCCAATGGCGCCAGGATGCTCGGAAGAATGGCTTTTGCAGTAGCAATTGAACTCTCTTGCTTGCCTTGTTTTCTGGTAATGGCCTATTTGGACAACATCAAGATGCGGGCTTTGAAAGATAGCTTCGGTCAACTGCCTGGCCGCTCGTCTTTTCGGCTGCCCAGTGAAGCGAGTCTTTGTTGAAGGTCTCCCATGCGTGATGCGGGGAGAAGCACTATCATGTTGCCGAGCTATCGCAGCGATGCCATCAATTCTGAACGATGATACATATGGAATGCATTAAAACGACCCACCCATATAAATATCTAAGCCAACGTTCGGAACGAAGAGGAAGAAATCAATACAAAATAGATGACCGCACTCTCTGTCTTGAACCATAGCTTAACGGGGGGCAGAACAAAAACATACAGCCATATCCCCTGTCACACGTTCACGAATCTGGCCTCCCGAACACTAGCAGAACGTCCCCTAACCATGGTTAGGAGCAGTCGGCTGG